TTCGTCCACGGCAGGCCGGTTTTCTCGGCAACGGCAATAGGTACGGGAAAACGGACTTCATGGCGGTTTGTAACTCGTGGCTAATCACTGTTTAGATGTAAAACAAAAACTTTCTGAGCAACATTACGCAACGTTGCAACAAACGGAAAATGGACTCTAGAGGGCGTGTTTATCAACCGATTTTGATCGGGTTCTCTGCATCGTATTTCTTGTATCAAAGGACAAATGATAGCAGTTGAAAATTTTCGATTTTCGAAAATTCGTTGCATACTTTTTTTGCCGAAATTAATCGAAAAAATACTATTTCGGTTGTTATCGGACGGATTAACTTGAAACTTACGTGGTGTAGACCGCCAGCATAGAGACATAAAAGTACACATTCAAAATTTTTTTATCACTTCCGGTTTCGATGTTAGTACTTTCGGTGGTATCACTTCCGGTGGAATTGAGTTATGTCAAAAATAACATATGCATTATATTACCAGTCTTAATACAAACTTATTAAACTAAAAAAATCCGCACCGGAAGTAACATGTTGGCCGCCATTTTGGTTTGCCTCATTTTGCAGAAATTGCTATTCAGAGGCCATTTTTCATCTGATTTGCATAACTTTTGTGTCAAACGATACGTTTCAAGTCCGTCTACAATCCTTAGGCAGCATAATTTTGATTTTCAGTTTTGCCTTTTTTGTACTACCGGACGTTTTTTTTCAAAGTTTGAACGCGTATATCTCATGACCTTGACCTTTGATGACCTTCATATTTACTACGATGATAATATGTGATCTTGTCTATCTGATGACCTTTTGACCTTTGGGGTCAGACAACTCTTTACGATTTTACAGGGGTCTAAAAATGGACCATTTTGAGTCTTTGCAGTGCTATATCTCGGTCCCTAATAGAGATATGGCGATAATTCTTTCGATTTTGTAATGTAGAGATTCTGAGGTTTCCAGTGATATAAAACATGCATGCCTTACATGCAAATTCAAAACCCCATTCACTTAACATGGGACTATTATTAGATAAATCGGCTAATTAGATTAACCTGGCTGTCAACCCCAATATAAATCAAAGTTTAAGTAGTTTTAAAGACACCCTCCCTTTTATATTTCTTTAAAATGTTTTGTGTCCATTTAAGCTATATAAATAGGTTCTAGGATGGATTGAACCTTGTTATACTGTAAGTAAAGCTTACGGAAGCACATTAAAGGCATACCCCCACTTAATTTCCCAACTTTCTTATTTTTTATCCAAATTTCATCAAACTTGGTATGTATGTGTATAATCTGAATCTAAATTTGATGGATATGTCGAATTTGCGTATTGCGCATGCGCATTACTAAATTTCTTATTTCTTATCCGAATTTCATCAAACTTGGTATGCATGTGTATAATCGAAATCTAAATTTGATGGATATATCGAATTTGCGTAGTGCGCATGCGCATTGCCAACTTTCTTATTTATTAACCGATTTTCATCAAACTTGGAATGTATGTGTATAACCCAATTCCAAATTTGATGGAAATATTAATTTTTGTTGTGCGTATGCGCATTACTAACTTTCTTATTTCTTGTCCGAATTTCATCAAAATTGGTACGTATGTGTATAATCCAATTCTAAATTTGATGGAAATATTGAATTTTTGTTGTGCGCATGCGCATTACCAACTTTCTAATTTCTTATCCGAATTTCACCAAACTTGGTATGTATGTGTACAATCCAATGCTAAATTTGATGGAAATATTGAATTTTTGTTGTGCGCATGCGCATTACAAACTTTCTTACTTCTTATCCGAATTTAATCAAACTTGCTATGTGTGTGTATAAACCAATTACAAATTCAATGGAAATAACCAATTTTTGTTGTGTGCATGCGCATTACCAATTTTCTTATTTCTTATCTGGATTTCATGAAACTTGGTCTTTATTAATTGACAAACATTCTTTTATTCCTAGTCAATATACTTTAAACTCCAGGCACTTTTGCATGTTTGCATTTAGAGATGCAGAAAAGTATTTACATCAATGTAATTGCAATAGACTATCTTCGTATGTACCTGAATGTCGTAACCCGCCCTGCATCAGTACTGTTATTAGGACAGTTCTAGTGTTATTGTTATTATCATGCTATATTATTGAAATGAAATATAAAATTATAAATCGGGAATATTCATGGTGTAGGCTATTGTTTCTACAAAGTTCACACATATCTATCAGGACATAAGTCTAGTTATTGCATAGCATGTTTCAACTAACCGGCGGAAATTTGTTAAACCGCACACCTAACTGATAAATGAGTCTCCACTGTATATCTAAAGGAAACATTTGTAAAAAATTTGGAAACAAAAAAAGGAGAAAATTTTAACTCACAGAAACATAGCATCATCATCTAAATCCATACTCATATCAGTTCCTAACCCTGAATCACCACACTGTCTTGATGCTCTGTAACATACAAGGTATTGAAGATAAACAAGGTATTGAAATACTTATGCCAATATATATCACCAAGGGAAACTGTTGTGTTCCTTTCAATCCCATCTAATTTTCTCTCTCAAAATTACATTCTTGATCTCATATCAATGTTGGAGAAGCACATTGCTTATGTGTCACAGAAATTTTGTTTGATATAGAAATTCTTCTCATTGTGTTTCAACCATCGCATTTTAAGACAATGCAAGGAAGGTTTTATATTAATAATAGTTAATTTTTGAATACAATGTATAAAAATCATGATGTCATTGGGTCAAAATGAATTAAAGAAATATTTAGACTCATCTTATATTAACTAGCATGAAATATAGACCTACCCTCTACAAGTGAAGAAAACAATCCTTTTTAATTTCTTATTATAAAAAAAATAATTAAATGACCAAATACACCCCTCTTCACCATAAGGATCTGAATTCAAATCAGGATTATAACTGAAAGAGAATGTTACAATTAAATCGAAGGACAATTAAACAAAGCACTCCCCAGTTTACAATAGTGTTGAAACGGTTAAACGGTAACTGGGTCTGATTTGAGATGATCGGTTAACCGTCAATTTTATAAGAAGTAAAAAGAGAGCAATTTTGACAGAAAATTCTTCACTGTTTGAGTGCTTAAGCTGTTTTCTTTAGTAAATAAACATCTTTATTGATTGAATAATTGAGATTAATAAATCAAGATAGGATATCAATTATCAAAACACTAACGAGTTGCAAGAATTGTGGTCAAGATTATCAAGCCTCTTTTTTTATATAAGTTAAACTAATTACTCGTGGATAATCGCGTCATGATGGTCTTAGTTTGTCGACAGTCGCTGTGTGCACCGTTATGTTAATTAGGTTAAACAAATAAGTACTGTAGCACTGTAATCATGATCAGACGTTCTGCACCCGCCACGCTTCGTTGAATCTTGTTACTATTTTTATTTAATCACGGAAATGTAACACAGTGCTTTTTAAGCATGTTCTAGTGTTTTAATAAGTTTTGTTATTATTTTTATTATTTCAATCGGGTACGAGCTGCTAACTAAATCACCAACCGTTTCAACGCTAGTTTACAAAATCCTGGAATTCATTAGAAATGGCCATGATGCTATACTATTATCACTTCATTCACTATATTTTCTTTAATTGCAAATGGACTATATGTAAAGACTTGTATTCTTAAAAGTGATGCTCAATATCCAGTTTACTTAAAATAATTACCTGTAGATATCACATTCAGATAGACAAATTTCTTCATCTAAAGCTGTCCAAAATTGTTGTTTAAATGAACCAAATAAATCTCCAGCCGTAGCAAATAATTGAGTATCAACTGCATTTGTTACCCACTAAAATGATAAAAATAAATCTAGAATTTAAAATTTAAAAATTTTTTTTAGATATATATCAATATCCTTTCAGTCTACATAATCATATAAATGAGGCATGAAAATATATATTTCCTACTAAAATGATACTTTTCAACTATGTTGCTAAAAAGCAGCCGACAAATCAGCATCGTTTTTTACTCAATTTTTATAAGGAATAGGGCGGATTAAAATTGTTTATTTATAACCTATAGGACTGGCTAAATTTAGCTTTCATGCAACAAGAGAGGCAGAACAGAGAAAATAATAGACAATTTGATACACTGTACCTGTAAACTTGGTTCTCTACTAAATTCCTCACTTTTAGCATTACTAAAATCATAATCAGGTTGGAAGGAAGCATTCAATGTTGATATTAAATAAAATAATGTTTTCGTTGATATAGTATCACATAAATAATGTTCTCCATCTTGACTTTTACAGTATTGCCTACAAAATATAAATATAAACTAGAGCACGGGCACTGCATGGGCACTGAAGCAATACGTCACATCCTGGTAGAATAATGCATTTTATATTTCATTCTACCTATTAAAACGGATTCATGAGACCATAGTATTTTCACAGATTTTCCTTTTAATGCAATAAGGTAAATTACAAGAATATATACCACTTATGTTTCTTTTAAAACTTTTCACTGGTCAACGATACAATTCTAACACATTTTCAAATTTCTTTTTTAAAAAAATCAAAAATTACTTTTGTAGAATTGATTTTTTTGTGTGGAATTGGAATAGTCTCTTCAATATTTAGAAATTTTGAAATATAGGAATCCACGTTCCAACCATTTAAGAAAATTCCTGGCACTCGGTTTGGGTTATTGTCCTATTTGTGATATTCAAATGGCTATAAAAACTGATGTAAACATCGTACAAAAAAATCAAAGACACCATGTGATAGATGTTGTCAAGGGCTATGACTTTTGTTTAGGCGACATAGTAACCACATGTCAAGGTCACGGGATATGAGGATTACAAGTTTTGAAAATTGCTGTTTTTGGAAGCCTAAAAAAAAACGGAAATAGGTGTCGGACATCTTACATCAAAACATGAATTGACATTATAGATCAATGACTTTTGACCTTGAAAAGGTCAAGGTCATCAAAGATGAAGGTCAAAAATGAAAATTTAGTCAATTGTAAAACCCATTCCTTTTTTAAAAGTAAAAAGCCCGAACAGATTTATCTTCTTACGATATTGGCCAAACTAGTGACCTATTTTCCTGCAAAATATTATTGGTGAAAAATGTATACTTTGCAAGTTATGATAAATTACAAATATATAATATATATGTAAATCTAACCCGGATGTGCCACGCCCACCCTCAAAATTTTGCTCTGTCTGCTATCATGTGTACAATGTTAAATGATGTTAAAAATTTCAAGCATGTACAATTATTAGATCATGAGATATTCGTTGTTATATGTTAAAAGTTTGAGTTTATACGGCAAAAACCAAATTACGCACAGTTACTATAGACATCAGTGTGAAATTTTAAAACTTTAAAAAGCGCAATATTGATCTTTATATCAAGTGTGTTATATCCTCAGAAAGAAAAAATCGCACACATTAAGGAAATGAAATAAATTTTGTCGTATGATAATTAGGTCACGTGGCAGAGCTCTTTAAAGATAAGAATTGCTATTTTCAAATGGCTCTAGAACCGGAAGTAAACGTCGCTTGACAAAAGTACATATATTTTTAGATAGATCTTGTTAGGGGCCACAACATTTGTGCAGGTCACAAGGTCACCAAAGATCAAGGTAACTAGATATATGCCTTAACAGTTTTGACAATTACTGAAAAATTAAACCCGGAAATTAAAAAAAAGAAAAGCCAAAATTCAAAAATCGGCTTCCAAAATTTTCTTAGCAATCAATTGCAGATTCTATAGAAACTAAAATCACACACACCGGCTTTACCCCTGAGGCCCCATTTTGAGTTTTATAAGAATTAGAATCAAGATTGCGTCTGACCTTATACTTCCGGGTCAAATTTATTCAATCCAGTATCTTTATGGGGACTACTCTGACTAATTGCAAAAGGAATTTTTCAAATATCTGCAAAATTCCGGAAGTTGAAATTTCAACTTTACGAGCGAATAACGTCAAAACCGGAAGTGATATCGAAACTTTGAAAATTGATTTTAGATCGCAATCAACATGTCTAATTATCTGTAAGTTTTCATATCGATCGAAATAAAACTGTAGAAGTTAGAAAAAAAGTGAAAAACCTCAAAAATTGAAACTTAAAAAGTCAGCGACAAAAGTTTAAATTTTAGAATTTTTTAATTGCTATCTTACAGCCGTTAGCGCGAACTTATTAACAAAAAAAGATCAATCAAAATCTGATCTGATTGGAGCTGTAAATTAGCAAAAACGTAAATAATGGATTTTGTCCTACGTCATTTCCGGTTGGAAAAAAATGCATGAAAATACATTCATCAGATTTAGTCTCGCTGCATTAACGGGAGAAATGTTAACAGTATCTATGTGGCATGTATAGTTTTGGCTGGGCGCTCTGACCAGAATTCGAAAAAAAAAAAAAAAAAAAAAAAAAAAAAAACCTTTTGCAAAACAAAGCAGTGCGTTCAATAGAACGCACTGCAACTAGAACTGTACTTATAACAGTACTGATGCAGGGCGTGTCACGACATTCGGGTACATACGAAGTTGGTCTATTGCAATTACATTGATGTAAATACTTTTCTGCATCTCTAATTGCAAATATTCAAAAGTGCCTGGAGTTGACGAATTTTCTGATAGAAATTGGGGAGAATGGTACTTAAACGGACATGTCAAAGTCAGGAATTTTATCTATACTGACATCTCATTAACTAACTTAAATTTATTAGGCTACGAGATACAGCACTGCAAAGGTTCAAAATGGACCATTTTTAAACCCCTAAAATATCGAAAATAGTTGTCTGACCCCAAAGGTCATCAGATATTCAGATATTACAAATTATCATCAAAGTAAATATGAAGGTCACCAAAGGTCAAGGTCATGAGATATACGCCTTCAAACTTTGGAAAAAAAAAAATTTCCGGTCGTACAAAAAAGGTAAAACCCAAAATCAAAATTCTGTCCTCAACAAGTTTTAGATAAACGTTAATTCTATCATTTGACACCAAAATTGGTCAAATCGGATGATAAATAGCTCATAAATAGCAAGTGTTGCATATTGAGGCAAACCAATATGGCAACCTATATGTTACTTCCGTTACAAATTTTTTTAATTGTAACACTTTGTATTAGTGACACTAAACATATGCATATGCTTATCTGACATAACTCAATTTCACCGGAAGTGATGCCACCGGAAGTACTAATATCGAAACTGGAAGTGATAAACATTTTTTGATTATGCAGAATTATTTGCCCATACCGACGGTCTACGCCATAAAAATTTCAAATCAATCCGTCAAAAAGCAACCGAAATAGCATTTTTTTATTAATTTCGACAAACGAACGAATTTTGGAAAATCGAATATTTTCAATTGCTATCATATGTCCTTTGTACTTAGAATTATAATAAAGGAAACCCGAGCAAAATCGAACGATAAATACGCGGCCCTCTACAGTCCATTTCCGTTTTTTTGCTATCTCACTTCCAGTTGCGCAGAACATTTTTTTTTTTACATTTAATACGTGAATAGCCATGAGTCAGAAAACGTCATGAAGTCCGTTTTGTCGCACCTATTTCTCGTTCCGAGAAATAAGCTCCCTAGCTGACGAAAAAAAAAAAGTTGTTACAAAAACAAAGCAAAAACAATTTATCTTTGAACAAGGCCTGAAAACATATTCAAATCAATTCAAAAATGTAAATCTATCTGTTCCACTTTACTGTTTTTCTAATATTCATAATATGACCTACATTTTATGACATGAAATAAGATAGCTTGCCAGGCAAGTAACATACGCTCACTATCAGCTGTCAGAAATGATAACAAAGTCTGTAGTGGTTTAATATGTGAAACCAATCATCCAATTGTCACTAATTTCAAGTTTTACTGAGATCTCATACCAAGTTTCATCATGATCGAATAAAAAATATAGTCTCCATCAGGCCTACAAGCCAACTTAGACGCACTGAATTAATTCAAGGGCCATAACTCCAAAACCATTCATCCAATTATTACCATTTTTTTTTACTTGAGATATCATCAATATATACTTGCATACCAAGTTTCATTGAGATCAGAAAAAACTGCTCCCTGTATCATGACTACAAGCAAACTTTGAAGCATTTTTACTAAGTCAAGGGCAATAACTCCAAAATTATTCATCCGATTATGACCAAAGTCAAACATGACCGAGATCTTATCCATATATACATGCATACCAAGTTTCATCAAGATCAAATAAAAACTACAGTTTATATCCTGCTTACAAACCAAATTTCAAGGGCAATAACCCTGAAATCATTCATCCAATTATTACCAATTTCGAACTTGACCGAAATCTCATCAATACATACATACATACAAAGTTTCATCAAGATGGGATCAAAATTGTAGCCTTTATCGTGCATACAAGGCAAATGTAACGCATTTCTACTTAGACAAGGGCAATAACTCTGAAACCGTCCATCCGATTAGTACCAATTTAGAACTTGACTGAGGTCTTATCAATTCTACAATCCTTCTAAGTTTCATCAAGATCAAATAAAATTTGTAGCCTGTATCATGCATACAAGCTAAATTTAACTTGTTTATACTAAATCAAGGGCAATAACTCTAAAACTGTTCTTTCCGATTATTACTTATTTCGAACTTGACCGAGATCTCATCAATATATACATACATACCAAATTTCATCAAGATCGGATAAAAATTGCAGCCTTTATCATGCATACAAGCCAAATTTAACGCGTTTTTACTAAGTCAAGGCAATTTCTCTGAAACCGTTCATTTCTATGTGGGCGTATAAAAATGAATGAAGTTTTACAACCTACTTTTCTGCACCAAGTGGGACCGACATTTTATGCCTGATAACTAACCTAATAGGACTATGTGTAACTACTTTGCTCTCAGGGGGTGATAAAGCCTGCAATCCACCAGCATTTTGACTATTTTCATTACTTAAAATTTTAAATAACCGTTTATCATTACCAGCCATTTTACAGGAATAACTCTCAATTCTGTAATCATAAAAATACATGATATTTATAACATTAAGTTTAAATTCCACATCACATTGTCAAACATAGGCATAGATAACCAGTCTGCCATAAAAACAATTTAAATTTCCATAATAATTTCTTATCCTTTTTTTTATACATTCCATAATTTGAATCCTTAACCCTTGAAACACTGATTTGTAAGAATTTTGATGCATTGATAATCAAGACTAATACGTGTGCTGAGCTGAATTTAACTCAGTGATTGGCATTGCTTGATTTCCCAATCAATTCGCCAATGATACCTTACAGAATACGAAACACTAATAATTACAAAAGAAAACGAAAAAATAATGCAGCATTGATTCAGTCAGTATATTTCAGCCATTTCGCCCAACCAAAGGAATGCATCAGGGCAGCAATAATGTCCGTCTGTAGATCGGTGGTTTCATCAAGCCTGATACGAGTATCAAAACTTAATCCTGTATTCTTTCGCATGCAATTTACTTAGAGCTATGTAATTTTGTAAGGTAGCATCAATGAATGAAGGATGAAATGTTTCCCTATGTCTTGGGCTACCTCATCAGTACCTAAGTGAAATTCTCCACTCCGTCGATGAATTCGCCACTACGTTAGCGAGTTCGTCACTCCGTCAATGAGTTTTCCACTCACTCAGTGAGTTCACCGCTCTGTCAATTTGTTCGCCAGTCCGTCGCTGGGATGATTGGCGGAGTGACGCCAATGACGGATCAAGCCAATGAAAGATTGGTGGAATGACAACATTGATTCAGTCAGTATACTTCAGCTAATTTGCCCAATTAAAGGAATGCATCAGAGAGAAACTGACGTCCGTCAATGAGTTTGCCACTCCGTCAATGAATTTGTCGATACTTCAATGAGTTTGTCACCCCGTCACTAGGATGATTGTCGTACTGATTCAAATGACAGAGTGACTGATAAATTAGTCATGGATTACTTCAGACATCACCTCCTCAATGAGTTCACCACTCCATCAGTAAGTTCACCACTCTGTCAATGAATTGCCACTTCGTCAGAGACTTTGCCGCTCCGTCAGTGAGTTCGTCACTATGTCAATGAAGCTGCCACCATGTCACTGCAATTATTGACGAAGTGACGTCAATGACAGATTGAAAAACAAGTGGTTACCTAGCAAGATAAGCTATTTTCAGTATATCAAGGTCATTCACCTATCTGTGTCAAATTATACCAAAAATCTAATTTGTGCAAGATATTGTTGATTTAAACTAACACACATTATGTAATAATATTCTGACATAAACTGTCACCTCTATCACGCTAACAAGCCAATAAATTTTGATACGTTTTTTTTAAGTCAAGGGCTATAACTCAAATTCCATTGATCAAAAATTTGTCAAACTCAATCTTGACTAAGATCTCATCATTATAAATGATCATCCTAAATTTCATTTAAATCAGATGAAAACTTTAGTCTCTTTTGTGTTCACCACCAAGTTTTTCATAAGTCAAGGGCAATAAACCGTTCATCGAAAGATTGTCAATTTCAAACTTGTCCAAGATCTCATTAATATAAATGATCACACCAATTTTCATTCAAATCAGATAAAGATAGCGTGCGAGGCAACGTAACATACGCCCACTGGCAGCTGTTAGAAATGATAAAACAGCCTTTAGTGACTAAAGTACAAATTTTCTAGAACAGGCAAGTGCATTATAATGTGGGCATATAAAAACTGGAAAATTTTGAAATCTAGGAAGGCGGTGTAAAGATCTATCATGAATTTGGTAGTGAAAGTATGATATGACAGGATATGATGCATTACAAACTCAAAATTCAAAGTCATTCGCTTGTAGCTTACTTGCGTTTATTGATGGAAATTAGATATTCCCCAATTTGTACGACAAAAAATATTTAGTTTTTGACATGTTATAATTGACAATTTGTTTCAAATACTAAGTCAAATATCTTTTTTTGTTTAAGAACTTATTGATAACAAAAGTTATAAAATCTATATATTGATGGACCCCAGTGCGGAGTGGCAAACTCTCTGACGTAGTGACGAACTCATTGACAGAGTGGCGAACTCTGACGTACTGACTATGAGGTAGCCCTAACTCTGATTTCCTCTGAATATGTTTAAGCTTACAGTTATTAATATTGGTACTGGTACAATGAAAAACCTTAACACACTACATGCTTTTAAGAATCTGAATGGATGGTTATCAAAACATTTTGCTTTATGCAGTCTTGTTGTGGACAGTGTAATCTTCTACACTTTTACATAAAATCTAGTATAAGGATATGAGCATCTACAATTACAAACCTTCCTTCAATTCTACAATTCTCTAACTCCATACATAACTGAGCATTAACAGCTTCAAATCGCGAATTTTCCAGTAGCTTCATGATGATAGTATGACAAGAACTTTTTTTTAGGTGTTGTGTGTTCATTTAATCATACAGAATGTTCTATAACAGTAGCCAGTAAATTAGGTATTTTCCTGATTAATGATAAACAAGTTAGTTGCTTGTTACTGATTAGGCTCTCTGCACTGTATTATGTGCTAATTTTTATAGAAAACACAATACAATGTTTATCATAAACAACTAATATCAATAGGCTAAGTTTGTTTAATTATATGCTAAAAAAACTGTGAACGTATGTTTTTCTGTAAGGCTGGTACAGTTCTAGGATTTATATCCTTTGTACTTTCAATTGTTATCTTTTCCTGGGTGAGCTCTTTATGTTCTGTTCAAACTTTAAGATCATTAAAGAAAAGAAGTTTGAAGGTGTACTAAAGGAACCAAATTGGTTAGGTACAAGAATTAAACCATGCACTGACAAGGAATTCCCACAGGATTGTTCGTTGGAATACTTTTAGGATGGCTAAATATAAGTCTAAAGTTTGATTTGTCTTGTGATGAAACTGTTGGTGAATTTTCCATAAATAATTCTTTCATTTCGTTCAAGCGGATGTAAACAACCGCCATTTGCAAAATAAATCAGCTGTCAAAAACCGCTGTTGTTTCGTCCTTGAAATTTTTTTTATCCGATCTGATATGAAGCCTGAGACAATAATCACTGGTTTCAGAGAACCTAAGATCTTGCACCTTAACCTCCTTCAAATCCTTTATCACGGAAAATGTAGATTTTCCTGTAATTTTTCAATGTTTTCACCATACAAAACAGAATATTCCTACTGATGTTCAGGCGAAAAGTGAATATTCCCTTTCCCACAATGCAATTGAAATGTAACTAAAAATAAAATGACTGAAGCCAACTACTCGGTAGAAATAAAACACAAACTTTAAAAACAATGTCAAATCTTCAAAAAAAGCATGTTTGAAAATAAATAGATTTTTTGCTTGCCGTGTCCATAGGCATGTAATATAGAAAACTGTTTTAATCGTTTTTTACACTGTAGATCTAGATCTGGGTTGATTATATTAAACTATTTTTTGAGTCATATTTTTACTTTTACTATAATTAAGTAGTTTGGGATTTGGATTTTCAAGTTACCCGTCACGAAAAAGGGGAAGTTATTCATGGAAGTTTCTAAAAGGAAACTGATTCATAAACAAAAGGAAAACAAGACATCGAAAATGAAAGATGTTTTAGTTTGAACTGTGAAGGTTTGTATTCAAATAGTCCTAATCCATCCTACACCTTACCCCCTCTTTACAAAATCCCCCACACTATTCGTCAGTGTTTGTCCCTATTCATGTTAAACACTTTCTTTCAGTTTAAGCCTACCCTGAAAAAGTTGAAAATAGAAAAACACTTCCTCTCCCTAGACTACTAAGTAGCCTATCTCATTCTTTCAATTTTCTTTCTTTGAATAGACAGTAATTATAAGCCTAGGCCCTACATACATTAGGCTATAGTCTACAGGGATGAGTTCCAATTTGATGTAGGTGTCAATAATACAGAGACCAAGGCTTTTTAGCATTGAATACATGACAATTCCAATTTATGCAGCTGAAAGACTGCACAACTTGTTGCAAGTTCAAAATTGATGATATCTGCTAGGCCTAGATAAAGAAAAAATAAGAAGGATTGTGATGAACACTTGTAAATGATCGTTACAGAAAATTGAAAATGTTTTTTATTTACCGGTATTGAGTTTCTTTAATATCATGAATATTATTAAAAAAAACTTCTTGTAATGGTTTATGAACCTTATTCCCTGAAAAGAAAATTTATATAAACCTTACTATCTGGGTAGAACTTAGGCCTACTTGCTGAAGAAGCTTTGTATTTTTTGTTGGTGCTTCTTATCACTTTGTTCAGAAAGTTTTATTTTTTATTCTCAAATTAATAAAATAGAAGTGCAGGCTTATTACCATTATTGAGATCAAGCGTATTTGTAATTCAAGTTTAATCAGTAAGATTTTACTCTTCTTTCTAAGTGTAATTTTAAGTAAGCTAACAATACAAAATGCATTAATCAAGGATTTACATTACTTTTGCTTTATTATCATATTTTTGTTGTCGGTCATTTTGACTTCCAAGTTGTTTTGACCAAACAAAAGTATTGGGTGTGTTTTCCCATGCTACATTTTGACTATAACATAATAGGCTATCAACATCACGAGAGTAAGCTCTTTGATCTACCAAAATAAAAGTAGATCACCATAGCTATATTTTACACTTCAACTAATCCAGAAAATAATCTACATCTTCATTTTACACATCCAACCTATCTAGATGTAGATAAACATTTTAATCTTTTAAAGATGGGTTCACTTATTTTCATTAATGAAAATGAAAATGCTAAACTTATATGAATAGAAAGTAGAGGTTTTCTAATGTTTGTCTCACATGTCCATCATATTCATAAGTAGCTAAATTAGAAGAAAATTACTAGCAGAATTCCAACAAGTGATTGGTCAAGAAAGGTCAAAAAGTGTTTTTTTTTGTTTATCCAGACAGTACATACATTGATATTTATGATTGGTTACAACACGTAATTTTGTGCAATAAGAACATAATGATATGATTAAGAATACATAATAATTCATTAGAAACACCAATTAATCAAATGGTTTGCTTAATTTGACACTCAAATGTAAGGAAACCAATCTTTAACCTGTCTAGATAGAATTAGATAGAATCTACATCACCATAGTTAAATTTATCACTTTCACCTATCTAGATAGAATCTACATAACCATAGTTAAATTTATCACTTTCACCTATCAAGATAGAACCTACATAACCATAGTTATATTTATCACTTTCACCTATGTAGATAGAATCTTAGAATCTACATCACTATAGTTACATTTATCACTTTCACCTATCTAGATAGAGTCTACATCACCAGAGTTACATTTATCACTTTCACCTATCTAGATAGAATCTACATAACCATAGTTAAATTTATCACTTTCACCTATCAAGATAGAACCTACATAACCATAGTTACATCTATCACTTTCACCCATCTAGATAGAATCTTAGAATCTACATCACAATAGTTACTTTCACCTATCAAAATAGAATCTACATGACTACAGTTACATTTATCACTTTCACCTATCTAGATAGAATCTACATCACTACAGTTACATTTATCACTTTCACCTATCAAAATAGAATCTACATCACTACAGTTACATTTATCACTTTCACCTATCAAAATAGAATCTAAATCACTACAGTTATATTTATCACTTTCACCTATCTAGATAGAATCTACATCACTACAGTTACATTTATCAATTTCACCTATCAAAATAGAATCTACATCACTACAGCTACATTTATCACTTTCACCTATCTAGATAGAATCTTAGAATCTACATCACTATAGTTACATTTATCACTTTCACCTATCTAGATGGAATTTACATCACCATAGTTACATTTATCACTTTCACCTATCTAGATAGAATCTACATCACTATAGTTGCATTTATCACTCTCACCTATCTAGATAGAATCTACATCACTATAGTTACATTTATCACTTTCACCTATCTAGATAGAATCTACGTCACCATAGTTACATTTATCACTTTCACCTATCTAGATAGAATCTACATCACCATAGCTACAATTATCACTGTCATATATCAAGATAGACTTTTCATCACCATAGTTACATTTGGCACTGTCACTAGATAGCACTGTCTAGATAGAATCTACATTGCCATAGTCACATTTAGTGCCGTCACCTATCTAGATAGTCTACATTACCATAGTTAAATTGAGCACTGTCATCTATTGAGATAAAATCTAAAAAGACCAATAATTGGTAATAGTAATTATTGCTATTTAGTATGAATTATGGCAGTGCATTCTATCGAACTGCTTTGTTTTCGTAATTGAATAAAATATATGATTTTGTGTCACCTAATCTGAAGAAACTTTAATAGTTGCAGCAACATTTGCAATACCTAAAATCTTCATTTGTGTTCCATTACTGAATGAATTGAAAATTGGCTCAAGAAGACTCATTTTTGGAGCGATTTTTCTTTTTTGGTATCTCGCTAGAATATCCAATTAGCCCAAATTTGTCGGATTACTTTGAAACTTTTGGTGGTAAAACGGATCACAACAGAAAACAAATCGGCATAATCAAAAACTTTGCATCATTTCTGGTTTTCACAAAATAGGGGAGCAAATTTCGGGTTGACCCACTTCCTGTGTTATGAATGCCACTGAAAGATATTGGCAGCTTTGATTTTGAATAAAAATATTTAGCAGAACAGTAACAATCACAAATATTTAACTTCAGTCATACAATTCTTTTGAACTCTTTAGGGCGATACTGAATAATATTGAGTATGAGGTATTGTTCTTGAAAACATGTTCAATTTGTAGCTCGTGAAAACTCTAGAAGGCAAATATTCAATAATTCAATATTGAATAATAACAGCAAGTTTTGTCAAAATCTGGTAAGAACCATCCCTTTTGGTGTTTGAGAGCTAAAATTTGAAAGCATTTTCAAGAACGATGTCAATAACTCCTATGAAACATTTTTTGATTTTTATACGCCCACACATAAGATGGGCGTATATTGTGATCACCCCGTCGGTCGGTCCGTCCGTTCACATTTGGCTCGTGCTCACTCTACAGGCTACAGTTCTTTATGGATTCTTTTGATTTTTATTTTGTATGTCAATGTTGTTATGAAGATGATCCCTATTGATTTTCGTGATGATCGGATAATTTTTCACCGAAATATCGTGTCTGACTTGAGGTTTTTCTCTATTAGCTATATTGTGCAACTCGTGCTCACTCTACAGGCTACAATTTTTTACAGATTCTTTTGATTTTTATTTTGTGTGTCAATGTCATTATGAAGATGATCCCTATTGATTTTCGTGATGATCGGATAATTTTTCACCGAAATATCGTGTGTGACTTGACGTTTTTCTCTATTAGCTATATTGTGCAA